ACAGTCCCATCTAAAAAGGTGTAACTATTCTGCATACAACTTAAAATGCACTAATTGCCTCACCAATAATCCCAGCATTACTCAAATGTACAAGTCCAAAGTCTTCTCTGAGACTCAAGGCAAACTCTTAGCTGAACTCCTCTGTAAAATTAGCTCAAGTTCAGGCTCCTGAGGCACAGTGTTGCTGCATAAACCTTCCTATTTCAAAAGGAAAAGTAGAGGAATAGAAATAAATAGGATCAAAATAAGTAAAAACCAACAGGGCAGATATCATATACTATGATTCCATGACCAGCATCCCGGAAATATGGTAATGTGCAGTGAATTTCAAATAGCTTGGGGAGCCATATCTCTATGGTTGTCTAAGTTACTCTTCATTCATTGCTGGGACAAATATCTGACACTCACAATGAGTGAAGAAAAGACCTATTTAGTTCACACTTACTGGAGGTTTCAAGACACTGGAGAAGAGGTGGTGTGCTGCCATGTCCAGGATGACCCCCTCCATATCTCTGAGAAAGCACAGGCTAGCCAGTTTAACTGTTCATGCTTCTCTGGCCCCGCCCCTCAGGCCCTGCCCTGGTCCTCTGGCCCTGCCCCTCAAGCCACTTTGTTGCTCCTCCAGCTGCGTCTGGCCCATAACTTATATGAGGCTTTGGAGGGACAACTAGATACAAACCATAACAATGGTATACATAGGATTCCTTCATAGGTCACTCTGATATTTATATATGAGAGGTGTATTTGAATACAATATTAAGGGTACACGTATATTTCATCTTGTTCCCAATATAAGAACGCAGGGCTGGAAACATAGCTCAGCAGCATAAGCACATGCCTGGCAAATGCAAATTCCTGAGTTCAATCCCCAGTGCCAAAACAAGAAATAAGGAAATGTCAAATACAAGAATCCTTTTAAAGTCTGCCTGGAGCTAGGAACTTTATTAAGCACTGTGCATGTAAATTATAGGAAAATGATATTCTTATTTGGGGGTTGATTTACACATATTAGGGAAAAAAGTATGTTGACATTTTAACATATTTGGAATATGCTTGAAAGCCTTCAGTGAAGAAAGAAAACTATCCTTGGAGCTGGGGAGAAAGCTTGGCAGTCTAAGCACCTGATGGGCAAGCACAACCACCCAGGTTCCATCCCCAGTATCAAACAAATAAATGATTAAATTTTTTTAAAGAAAACAAAGAATACCATCCTGGCAGAAAGCTATTGGTATATATGACTCACCTAAAGTGAAATAAAATTTTTAATTAAATGTATTCCTGCCTGGCCTTGAGACCATAATGTTCAGTGAAGCAAGCCAGACACACAGACTTAAATATCACATGGTGTCTCTTATAGGAAAAAGCCAGGGTAAAATAGAGAACAAAATAAAAGAGAGATGATAGGAGGAGAGTGATAGATCATTCTCAAAGAGGTAGAGAATTAAGAAATTGAGGGAGGAAGGAATTAGGGAGGGTAAATTGGGATGTGTTATTTACATGCACCAATTGCACACAAAAAATGCAAACATTATGTAGAGGAAAAATTTATATAAAAATGAAGGGATTGTGGAGAGGCTGTGGAGAATAAGAAACCCTTCTCCACTGCTGCTGGGAATGTAGATGGGTACAACCACTGTGGAAGTCAGTGTGGAGACACCTCAAGAAACAATTACTGGAAATCCCATTCAATCAGCTATTCCCTTCTGGGTATTTTCCCACAAGAACTGAAAACATCATATTATAGTGATATATGTGCACCTATGTTTATAGCAGCACAATTTGCATTTCCCAAACCTTGGAAACAAACAAACGCCCATAACTTAAGGAATGGATGAAAAAAATGTGGTATTTCTTACATTGCAGTACTAATCATCTATAAAGAAAGACAAACTCAAATGCTTTATAAGGAAATGAATGCAGCCAGGGGCTATACTCAAAAGGGAAATAAATCAGACTCACATATGTAAATATCACACTGTCTACCTAGTGTAAGAACTGGAAAGTATAAATAATACCTGAAAGGTATAATAGATATAGTAAACTAGAAAGAAACTAAACTTAATGATTAAAAAATGAGGATGAGAGAGAAAGGAGAAAGGAGGAAAAAAGGAAGGAGGATAAAACATGCAAGTATATGTGTAGGATGGCTGAGATGATTGTACTCAGAATTTCCATCATTTATTTAAAATAGCAGTGAATGTTTAGAATTTTACCTGACTGACTCTGTATGCTGAAATCTGTAATCTGAGAAACTAAATTGAGGACAACAATGTGTAACACAACCCATGGTTTAATGCCTCTAATCTTTTTTTTGTTTGTTTGTTTGTTTTATTCTAAGGAAGGGCTACAGGTGTTCAGGGTCTCACTACTAGATCAGACTCATGGTGATTCTCCTGTTTACAGACTCCCAAGTTGCTGGGATTACAGATGCACATCACCATGCCCAGTCTCAATCGCCATCTCAGCACATCCCCAGGGCAGGGCCAGCATAGCAGGCCCGAGGATCAAACCCCCAGCCCCTGCCCCTGCTTGCAGGTGCTTTAGTCTGCTGAGCTATTTGGCTGGCCCAATATCTGTATTCTTGGTCTTCTAAGTGTGTACCATTTCTAATGTCTTATAGATTACTATACTCTCTTTAAAATGAATTAAAACAAAAATAGGCAAGGAAAAAAATTAAGATGTATTCAAAGCAAGTGTCGATATTCATGTATTTCCCCAATCTTGCATAAATATGTCTCTTAATGTGAGCAAAATATTTGATGATAAAAGTAGATAATATATCAACCATTGATAATCAGCTATTCTTGTTTTGAAAATCTGTAACATGTATTGTTATATGTTACTCTATTTCTATCTTTTTGTATTTGTTTGTGCTTCTGTTTTATTCTTCAAAATAAAGGAAAATTAAATAAAAAAGGAAGAAGATCAAGAGATTTTAAAAGGAGGTGGAAAAAAGAATTAGGATATCATATGTATATATATATATATATATATATATATATATATCCCATAAAGAAAGTAAATATTATGTTTTACCCACACATGAGTACTAATAAACTAAAGTAAAATAAAAGAAAAACTATATTCCTACCTGGTCTCTGGCAACATAGACTCATTGTGTGATATGCAGCTCTCTTAGGAAACTTTCATCACCTGACCTTTTCTTCCACAGTTCTGAACTATCAATAACTCATCTTTCAGTCTCATTTATAGCTAATATTCCTTTCCTAAAACTATTTAGAATTTATCTAAGCATACACTGGTATTCTTTAAACTCATCTAAGTTCTCAGTTTAACTCAGAAAATCTTTATATTTTCGTTATCTACTTTTATTATTAAATATATTTTCTATATTTCTTCAAAATTCCATATGTCCTTACTCCCATTCTTCTCAAAGAAATCCTCAAATGCACTTTTCTGATATCACTGACACCATCAAGAATGATGTCATTTTATAGTTTAAATAGATTAATTTCTCATTGCATCCAGCACTGATCTGGTGGCACAGAACTCAATGTCCTTCAAAAGTTTGAATGTACACAGATGTTCTTTGGAAAAAATGTAGAAAATCTTTTATATATAATGATGAAAGGAGAACCTATGGGCTGGTGAGATAGTTCAGCAGTCTAAAGTGCCTGCTTAGGCAGTTGCCCTGGGACGCTGATTAGATCCCCAGCGCCACATGCTGTGTCAGCCCCTTCCCCAGGTTGGGCTAAGCTGCCCACAAAAAAGAAAAAAAGGAAAATCTGTGACTAAGGAATAGTTCACATTTATGTGGCCATTCTTCTCAAGTGCAAGGAATACTAGCATCTGACTCTCCAAAGGAGACTTGCCACTTTGCAAGAGCCCATGGATTCGTAAGTGGATTTTTGTTTAATCCTATCTCCAGTGCCTATATATGGACTGACCTAGTGAAAAATGATGTATCATGTTAATGCATAATGAAACACTCAATTTCACCATAAAAACTGTCACTACATTTACTTTCCTCCCTTCAAGTAACTCATTGTTGCAGACAGGAAAATTTGAAGTAATTTCCAGTTATTTTACTCTTATAAATTGAGAGACCATACACGTAAGTGAAATAAATCAGAGCCACATGTGTAAACATTGTATTGCTTCTCTAGTGTCAGAACCTCAAAGAGCAAATAAAATCTGAAAGGTACAATAGATACTGTGAAAGGGAAAGAAACTGTTCAAAGGGAATGAACAACTGGGATGATGGAAAGAAAGAAAAAAAGAAAGGGAAAAAGAAATACATATGTATATATACAGAATAGCTTGGATAGTTGTACTACTGATTTCTGCTGATCTATTGAAAGGAGCAGTTAAGGCTTAAATTTATTTTTCTTTCCTTTCTTGTTAATTTTTTGAAATGATTTTGCATGCTTATTTCTGGTAATCTGAACAGTGAATTTGAAGACAACAATATGCAAAATAACAACCACTGTTGAATTCTTATTATTTTGCTTAGTGAAATTCTGTAGTATTTCTTTTTTATTATTTTTTTATTCTCTTATTTAACAATTGGTACCAGGCAGGCAGAAAGCTCAGCAACCTAAGCACCAATGCAGAAAGCACAAGGTCCTGATTTTTGATTACTGATACCAAAAAAAAAAAAAAAAAAAAAAAAAAAAAAAAAAAAAAACTGAAACCAAATAAATAAGATTTTATTGTAAAAAACAAAAGTAAATTAAAAAACAAAACTGCAAAACTTGGTTGGAGACCAGGCTGTGTAAGGGTGAAGGTACTGATCACAGTGCTCTTTAGATTTAGTCTCTGCAGACAAGAAAAGGCTGCAGATGGAGGCCACTAAATATTCAAGGGCAATAATAGTCAACATTAGAGATCGAACTTTTCTCCTAGTTAGAAATATATGCTGCCTTTGTTCTAACTTGTTTCCTGGACTTTACTATTGTAACTTCCAAGTCCATGGAAACTTAATAAATACTAGCTGTGTGGAGAATTTCTCTTTACTCTAGAGAGTTCTGGCCTTCCCAGATCCCCCCAAATCATACTACTTGTCTCTTCTTCTTTAATTCTTTGCCATAACTTGCTTTAGGATATTGAGGACTGGGCCAAATCCCCAATAAAATTTAATTTTAATTGGTATTATATTAGAATAAGCTTCTTTCTTGGATATGATCAAAAGGAGAAAGAAACGCAGCAGGGTAAAGTAATAAGGGAAAGTGAATGAATTCCATAGGGTACATAGAGCAATCTATTGAGAGACTGTAAGTCTGCTATGACCTATATGTTCCCTATTTGCCAGTGGTCATTCACTAATTCCCTGAAACTTTCAATGCACCCAGGAAGTGGACAAAACACTGACCATACCTGTGCAGATGACTCCAGCATCTGACTGGTGACTGCAGTAGGTGTTGTTCCAGCCCAAGGAAGGGCAATTCCACACATGGGACTCTTGTCCTTTGCATATCAGACTTTGCAGCCAGATGGGTCCAGATCCAGCCCCAAAGTGAGCAGAGAATACAGCGTGTAGAGCTGATCCACAGCCCAGCTGCTTGCATACTATTTTGGCCTCAGTTATGTCCCACTCAAGATCACAGATGGTTCCCCAGGAGTTCTGGTGAAGGACCTCTACTCTGCCAGCACAACGGCTGCCTCCACTTGTCAGGCGGAGCTGTGCACTCTCTGAGGAAAGAGAATCAAATTAATGATTACTTTTACACAGAATACTGGATTTTTATGGTTTCTTGGCAACCAGTCAATCAATTGGTAGTGCTCAGCTTTTGCTGTACAGAGCTTACTGGATAAGATGTAAACATATTGCACCAGAGCAGAAGTGAGGCCCGCAATCTGACAGAAACAAAAATGATGAGATTACTAGTGTTAAAAATAAGAGATACAGGTGCAGTAGCCAAGGGTTCAATCACCAGTCCTGCCATGGCAGACCCCCATCCAGGACACAATGAGACAGCAATTGAGCCTGGGCTTGGTGGCACGCACCTGTAATGCCAGCTGTTGGGAGGCTGTAAACAAAAGAATCACTATGAGTCTGATCTAGTAGTGAGACCCTGAGCACCCTGTAGGCTCTTCCCTAAAATAATTAAATAAGTAAATTAAGTGATAGAAATAAACTGAAAATAATCCAATGAGAAGGGTCAAATTGAAACAGCAATGCCCCACAAGAACAAGCCCATTCATTTGTAGGGTTTTGCATGAGATATCAGAAAAATATGCTGGGAAAATCAAGTTTCTTACCCTGAGTGTTGACAGCATCTTTCACTGGATGAATTCTAAGAGTCACTAGAAAAGACCTGCACTTGAGTTTGATTTCTTTTCACCAACTAAACTCCATTGATAGAATTGGAGCACATGAAATTGAATTACTGCTGTAACCAAATGGGGTGAGCTCATCAGAGGTTTAAAGGGGCAGCCAAGAATTGAGGAAAAATGAGAATTGATCTTATTGATGAATGTGGACAAAACACTGACCATACCTGTGCAGATGACTCCAGCATCTGACTGGTGACTGCAGTAGGTGTTGTTCCAGCCCAAGGAAGGGCAATTCCACACATGGGACTCTTGTCCTGTGCATCTCAGACTTTGCAGTCAGATGGGCCCAGATCCAGCCCCAAAGTGAGCAGAGAGTCACTTTGCAGGGCTTTATAAGCAGGGCTCATTCAAAAATATTTCACTTAAAAATCTAGGTTTCAGAGTCTATATGTATGTACTTGATAAAGATACACTTCCCTTTTAGTAGATTGGACAATCTCATATGAGAAATTTCACATGAAATAAACATTGGTCAGGCTCTTCCAAAAATCATACAAAGTTGCTGACTCAGACTGAATAAATATGTACCACTTGGATTTCTTCATCTGAGTTGCTCTTTTTCAAAAATTAGTATTTTTATCTCTAAGGAAAAATAAAGTATCATCTATTCCTAAATCTTCTTCTGAAAAGATATATATTATATCCCTGTTCTGAAAAAAAAAAACTAGAGCAGAAAATTTGAACTAAGAAACTGTATTATCATTATCATCTATCTTCTTCATGAGAAAATGAGCAGAAGAATAATTAAAGGAGGGCAAAGTGAGATTGCTCATGCATGCCTGTAATCCCAGATCATGAGAGGCTGAGGCACAAGGATTGTCATGAGTTCCAGAACAGCCTGAAGTACATAGTGAGATCCTATCTCAAAAAGGTGTGGAGGAGAAGGACAAACAAAAAGAGGAAGGAAAGCAAGAAAGGCAAGCAGTAGAAGAAACACTTAATGATTGTGCAGAAAGGTGAAAATCCTTCTGAGTCTCACCTGAACAGACAACCTCCACAGCCCCAGCATGCTGGCAGCTCCCTCCAGCACAAGGCACTCTGGGGCAGAACCAGAGCTCAGACTCATGCCCCACACACTGGAACACTTCATCCCAGACCTGCTCACTGGCACTTCTTAACCTGTTCCTTTGGACAGACACAGCCTTGCCACAACCCAGCTCTGCACAGATGACTTGGGCAGTGGACAGCGTAAAGTTCATATCAGCCACTGGAGTCCACCTTCCTCCAGGGCTCACTTCCACTCGCCCTGAGCAGGATACATCTTGTCCAGCTAGTCTCAGAAATCCTAGAATGGAGAAAACAAATTCACCAAATATCCATGATGCAGACTTAGAATTTGTAAGGACATACTAAAAGTGATGGTGTGTGTGAAAGGCTTCCTTTTACCAGAATCAGGTCATGGGAAAAAATTTGCAAACCTGTGTCAGAAAGCTTTTTACATGAAATAGTGTTTATAGGCAAGTTCAGGTGGAATTTTCAGAGTTAGCTTAGACTGTCTGTCACCTAATCACTCATATTCAAAAGTAAATTTATATATGCTTTTAAAAAACTTATTTTTATACACTAAAAGAACACTCATTTATGTCTAAAGCTATGTATTCAATCTTCCTTGTTTTCTAATATCTATGTCTGTCCATTGAGTGCAACCTCAGTTAGGATAGATTAGGCTTCATTATTCGTTATTCGTTATTTTATCCCTAGAAAATTTCAGTTCTCAGATGTTGATCCCAAATGAATTCATATTTAACAAATTAGAACAATTTCAATGATTATTAAACCTTATAATTTACATTGACTTCCTGTTTAGACATGAGAAAGAGGCTCATGATATAGTGTAAGACGAAGTGTCAGCATCTGTGACTAAGATAATAGGGTCTCATATTTCCCATTATAAAACACAGAAGCAAATTTGCAAGCTATAAAGTAGTAATTAGGAGATATGAGAATTTTTCTTATTTTTCTTTTTTTAATTTTTTTAACATTTATTTAGTGTGTGTGTGTGTGTGTGTGTGTGTGTGTGTGTGTGTGTGTGGCCAGCTCAGCACACCAGGGGGCGGGGCTGGCTGGTATGTGGTGCTGGGGGATTGAACCGCGGTCCCTGTGTTTTGCCAAGCTTGTTCCAAGTAGGTGCTTTAGACCACTGAGCCATCTCTCCAGCCCCTTATTTTTCTTTTAAGGATTTATTTTGTCACTCTTTAGCAGAATTTGTAGAAACATTGAGACATTTTTCTATAAAGATGATCAGGAACTGATTTGAACAGCAGGCTCAGAACTGTGGGGAGGCATCTATCTATAGGCATAGACACATTACATGACAAGTATATGCAGTGAAGATGTTCAAAAGGCATTTTGTTCTCAAGAGAAAAGCATGTTCACTAATGTTTTCTTTCTAAAGTGTATCATGAAAAAATATTAATTTATTTTCTTAAAATTATTATTTGATTCTAATTAGACATGTTTCTATTTTTCCTTGAGGCTAGTGTAGTAAATCAAAATCTTAAATTCCAAAGTGATTATATAAGGTTACTTGAAATTATATCATCCCTGGAGTGTGAATGATGATAATGTACCTTGCCTGACAAGTTAGACTGCAGATAAAAAATTCTAAATATATGTAGCTAATCTTTAGAGCCTTGTATATGTAGTGAGTAGAAGTCCTGCAGTGGTTTATTAAAACAAGCTTAGATAGGACATTTTGGGGCAATAGCACTTACACTATTGACCACATTCCCATGCACAATCAAAGCAGAAAGCAAAGTGTGGACCCTGCCTAGGGATTTTACCACATCTCCTTCTTTGAATGATCTATTTCCATCCAGGTCACTCTGCACATTAGCGGTCCCTCTGACACCACATCTGGAAGCCACCAGTCCTACAGCCCTGAGTCAGAGCTTCTGGCTTAGATATTTAAATATGCCTTCTGTGTCACTATTTCCTCCACATTTTGTCATTGGACACACTACACTTACAGCTCCCAAGAAGGCTTTGGAATCTTTTAATTCAGATGGGATAGAACTGGCTGTTTGCTAACTTCTGAGAAAAGCCATTGGGATATGACTGTGAACTCTACTAGTTGCACTGTTTTGATGGTGTCTGTGTAAGATGATTTGCAGCATAATATAAAACCTTTGCAGGGACCTTTGCATGATTTCTATTGATGAAATTGGAAAAGTGTTAGAGAATAAAATGATCACTAAGCACAGTTATCAATTTCACTCTTGTCCTCTTTACCAACCAATGAGATGAGACCAAATCTTGCATGGTAGTGAAAATTTTAGAGATGTGTGCCTAGAGTAAAACCCAAACCCATTAATTTATCACAAAGTGATAATACTGCAATTAAACCTGAATACTGAGGTATTCATTTTTAAAACATAATGCATACATTATCTTTTAAGTTAAAAGAGAACAAGTAACATGTATGCCATAGGTTTGCCACCAGTATCTGATAGCTTGAGAAGAGTTAAAATGTAGAGAATCTTTTCTAGTAGTAATGGAAGTACTTTCAGCAAACAGTATTTTATCCATAGCTCTATGATCTAAGGAACTCTGAATAATTGTGTCTGAATTGTAAATGCAAATTTGCATAAATTCCTCAAGGATTTTTTTAATAATGTCCCCTGTGCCTATGTACCTATTGTACAAAATAATGTTCCATAGTATACATACAGAACCACTCAATTTCACCAAGGTAAATAGTTTCATTTTTGCATTCCTCCCCTAATGTTACATAGTGTGTGTGTGTGTGTGTGTGTGTGTACTTGCAATACATTATATAAACAAAATTATGAAACTGAATATTAATTGGCATGATACTATAATAATGTCTTTAGGTAAAATCATATAAAAGATTACCAATAATTATAAATAAAATAATAAATTGAATACCAATTAAAACTCCTAAACCTAAATGAGGCCTATCATCATCAGCTTCTATAAGGAGTCAGTCTGTAGATGTACCTCACAGTCTTCTAGAGCTTGCCCATTTTCTCATTTCTAAAGATCACAACCTACTTCTCTGAATTTTCTATTAACCCATGTAGTAGAAAATTCACTGACTATACCTGCACAGATGACTCCAGCATCCTGCTCGTGGCTGCAGTTATGTGGGCCCCATCCCCAGGAAGGGCACTTCCATACATGGGACTCATTTCCTGTGCAATTCAGGCCACCCAGCCAAATGGGCCCTGATCCAAATCCAAAAGGAAAAGACCCTTTTGTATAATAAAAGGCCTGTCCACAGCCAAGCTGTCTGCATACCACATGTGCTACATTCCCTTTGTCATCACAAACGGTACCCCAGGTGCCCTGGTAAAGAATCTCCACTCTTCCAGCACAGCGGTTATTCCCATTTCTCAGGTGCATCTGGGGGCTGTCTGAGGAGAGACAATTAAGTCAGTGATTACTTTTATGCAGAGAATGAAAAGGGTTTTCTTGTTTTGTGGAACATCCTCAAATGGGAAATTGACAACATTCTATTTTCAGGCTGAAGAACCTGCTGAGTCATTTATAGAATCACTGCCCCAGGACAGCAAGCTGGGTCTGGGTCTTACTGAAACAAAAATGACAAAAGGATTAGTAGAGACAGAAAACTAGAACTGAAATAAAACTGAAAATTATACAGCTAATAGTCTAAACTAGAAGCTGATACACATATGCCCCATAATTAGCCTTCTGGTTGAATAGTGTTCTGTAAAAGATGTATAGAATGTTCTCTGGAATTGTCAAAATCTCTACCCTGAGAGAGATAAACATGGTGTTTCATTGAATGAGTTCTAAGAATAACTACAAAAGGACAGCACCTGAGCTGATTTTATGTACACTGACAAAATATTAGTGCCACTGATTTAAGATCTATGAGGATTGGGACACAGAGAAAAAAAATTGTTAGAGTTTTGAATGTAATCAAGTTCTTCAGAAGCCTACCATAGCAGCCATATATATAGGACAATTCAGAATAGTTATTTTGGGGTCTGTCATTCACATCTGAAAAGTGAAAGATCATGAAGTATCTCATGAAATCCAGGAATGTTTCACTTTTGAATTTGGGCTTCAGAATTCTGATCTTGATACTTATTTTCAAAAATATTGTTTCTGATTAGATTGCAAGTGCACAGAAGAGAAGATGTCAGATGATACTAACACTGATCAGATTTCACCAAAAATTGTAGAACATTGCTTATTCTCCTGAATACATGTATTCTTTGTGTAGACTTCCTCTTAAGAGTTATTAATATTCAGTATTTGAAATTCGTTGTCACTTTGGAGAAATTAAGTGTTTCTAGCCTATATCAGAGTAGAGATTGGTTGTGTTCCCATTCTGAAATCACTTGAACTGAAAAGTTAAATAAAGTCAATTTGCTATTATTTTATTGTATATGTAAGTAAAATGACATAAAGATATATTAAATATGGTTGATTAATACTTCACCTTAAACAAATACTGCCAAATAAAATTAATAACATTTACCCCCTAAAGAGTAGGGAGCCTCACAGGAGGCTGATGCTTTTACTTGGAATAATTTTAAAAGTTGGAAATATAAATTGTTATTTTGATGGATAGAGCAAAGAGTAGATGAACTGAAATTTGAAAGATTGGGTGTCACTTTGCTCTTAGGTCAATGTTCTAGGAAACCTATGAGCCCAGCTTCTCCCTGACTGTCTAAGGTTTCTTCCAGATTACATGGGACAGCAAGGCTATTCACCAGTTGCATAGTTCAGTGTTTATAGATTCATCCAGCTGAGGATAAGCCCAAATAGGACAGACCTGTCACAGGTTCACAACTTCACAGGTTCTGTAAAGAATGTTCTGTGGTCTAAACACAGATGCATAGCCCGACTCATCTGTCTGTCCACTTTAGCATGGTTCAACCGAGTCCAGCAGCCAGACCTGAGCCAGGGCCAGCCAATGGAGTTCAATGTAAGTAGAACTAGACACAGTGAGCTGAGGGATACTTCTAGGTCCAGCAGGGCCCAGGCTGAAACCCAGACCTACGGTGTAGATTCTAGAAGCATGGAGGTGACAAGACAACTTGGGTAAACTACTCTGCCTGGAAGATTCCAGGTATATCAGGGGGAGATGCCCAGACAGAACTCAGAGGAACTAATTTAAATACAAATTTCCAATTTACAATCTACTTGTTGTATGGCTATAGTGTTTGCTCCTATGGCCTAAAGTACAAATTTATGTTATAAAACTTTGGCAATTTCTAATTTCATATGATGCTATTAATATTGCTAATTGCACTACTGTAAATAAGATACCATATCTAGTTTAACCACATAATGTCCCCTGGGTAATGATATAGAGATGGGCTTGGGTAATAACTTCAGAAAAGTCCTACACTGAAGGATGGAAGACAGTGCCAAACAGAAACCAATATCTCACTCAATCCATACAGAAGTCAAAATCATGGGACACACACAAAACAAGAATCTGACACAGAGACAACTAAAGAGCAGACACTTTACAAAATGTTCTGATAGTACTGATACAGCTACCTAATATCAAACTTTCACAAAAAAGTATCACAGAAATCAAAATAAATAATTCTCTCTGAAATAGAAAACAGCAAAAAGGGCCAGCCAGAGAGCTCAGCAGACTTACACAGGTGCAAGAACCAGGGTTCAATTCCAAGAGTTCCATGCCAGCCCCATCCCCAGGGCACACTGAGACAGCAACTAAGACTAGGCATGGTGGCATGTACCTGTAATCTCAGCACTTGGGAGACTAAAAACAGGAGGATCACTACAAGTCTGATTTGTGTAGTGGGACATTGTAGACCCTGTACTAAATACATTTTTAAAAACCATAAGAGAACAGAAACAGATGAAATTTTAAGGAAAACCCATGAGAATAACAGCAGATTTCTCATCATACATAATCAAATCAAGAAGAGCATAGAATAAAATATTATAAGCCCTATGGGATGTCATGTCTGCTTCTTGTATTGTGAGTGCCTGCTGCAGGGGCAAGAATATGCAATGTATTAATTGTTGTGACTGTCCTACTGACCTGTTTTGGATCTGTCTCACTGTTACTTTTTCTCAATACAAGTAATATACAAAAAAGAAAGGAAATATTATAAGTCCTACAAGAAAACAAATTCCAACCCAGACTGAAGCATTCTGCAAAATAATGATTCAAAATTAATAGGCATGATAAAGAACAACTAATCTGAACTTCAAACCAGTACTGATCAAATGAGATGAAGAACGTCAATACACACTGGTTAGGGGGAAAACTCAATAGGAAGAGATAACTGTCATAAGTATGTATGTAAATACCATATATGGGAGCACCCAACTATCTAAGACAAGTTTTAGGCTCCTCTAACTAGGACTCCAAGCTGCTCAGGTTATTTCTGGCACTCATGCTTCTCCAAGAAGGCCATCCCAGCAGCACTCCACCTGCCAGGAGAAAAGGAAAATGAGAAAGTCAAGCTCCAAGTCCAGCCAGCCCCTGGATTCCAAACAAGAAAAATAGGGTACTGAGAAGGGAGACCAAGGCAGGCCACACAAGCTACCTCCAGTGAGTCTGAAAGAGCCCAGTGAAAAGCCAACACCTAAGAGACCTCAGGGTTAACCGAAGGGGAGTAAAAACAAGGGTGCTGACGAGATCCAGAAAACTACCACAGCTCCAGGGAGGAAACCACGGGGCAGACCCAAAACACCAGAGAAGGAGGAAGAGGAGGGCATCTCACAAGAGTCAGAGGAGAAGTAGCAGTGACCCCATGAGCGGCCCACCCCTCCAAGGTGGAGCAACTTCCTTCTGCGAGGACAGATTGGCCCAGCACCACCAGCTCCAGGTCTGCCACCCTGCCCCACCCCACACTACAGCACACCAGCGCTGTGGCCCTGAGGTCAGAGCAGCCCTTGCCCACACATACTTGCCTTCCTAACAAGGCTAACATCTGCTTAGCTGTTCCCCATGTCCTTGCCCCCACTGCCCCCAGGTCACTGCTCTGGAACCATCCATTCCTCACTGCTCCCTCTGGTTTCCCCTCTTGGGAGGTATCCCCTGGACTTAAAGGGTCCTTGCACCATCTCACCCTTGCCATACCACACTCCACTGTGCTGGAAGCATCCAGGTAGACACTGGGGGATGCTTGGCCCCCCAAATGTCCCAGCAATTCTCATCCAGTAGGGCTCACACTCCTGTTCCTTCCCAGCCTTCCTAGTTAGTCCCCAGGTTACACATATCCTGGGGTACAGGAAAGACCAAGAGCCACAGGCACTGCCCTCTGTGTCACACCCACGATGAAAGCAGCTAGCCCTCACCTACTCAGGTGAGGCCCATGTCCCTTCTGGCAGCTGCCTAAGGCTAGGCTTGCACCCACCTTCATGCTTTCACTGCAGCTTATAACCGTGGGTGGACGCCAATACCAAGCCTTCCCCATGCTCCCCACACCTCTGCTCCCCACCCACAAGGTTCTCGTTCCATCTTTTCCTCTGTTCACAAACTACCTCTGGACAACTGTGTTGGCTTTTTGTTCAATGATTCACTCTTAGAATTTGTCATTGTTTCTGCCATCAGCACCAGATATGCATCCTCATTGCCTCCTGTTCTGCCCTGCCCCCACTCTAAGTTGGGTAGGATCCCCAAGTTGGATGCAGAGCACCCCATCCTAGGGAAGGTAGAGTGCTGCCCCTTGAGTGCTGCTGTACAGTGAAGAGGGGCCATGTTGAGTGTGGAGAGGTGTAGGGACCATTAGCTCCCCCTGTTCTGTTGGGGAGGGTGGCCATTATTCATCCCAGCCTGGGGCTTCCCCTCTGGTTTCCTATTTGCAATTACATGAATAAAAAAGTATCCTTTTCTGGGAAAAAGAAAGACATTTTATTTGAACATGAAAAATATAATAACAAATATCACAATCTTAACAGGAGACCTTACTACCCCCTTATCTCAAAAAGATAGGTTAAGTAGACAAAAAGTTAGCAAAACAGTATCAGAATTCAACCAAATTTTTGAATAAATGGAATTAGTGGACATATACAAAGTTACTTGGTGCTCCACCCAACATCTGAATGCACATTCCCTTCAGCTGCACATAGGACACTTTCTAAAATAAACCACATACTAGTCCATAGGGCATGCTTAAGGAAATGCAAGAAAATAAAATGTATCCCATGCCTATTATCTGATCACAGGGCAATGAAACTGGAAATTAATGACAAAAGAAACCACAAAACCCCAGGCCTGGAGAGTGTGTGGGAGAGCTTCTGGCTCCCCTGCACCCACTAGACATCTCCAGACTGAGCCCAGGCATGCCACATGAATAAGACTCTCCACTGCACTCTCAGGATCCTCATACTCACCCTTCCAGAGCCCCCTCTCCTGCCCCATCAGTCCACCAAGTAAGGAG